AGAAGTTTCTATTTGTAGTTTTGTGGGAAGCTATCAGTGAAACCCGTGAGGACCTTTGTCAGCATCATAGCCAGTGAGAGGGTAGATCTGGCACAAGGAACTTCTCATGTCACTCCCACTGAGATAGATCCCCCAGTGCAAGTGGACTGCCCCTCCACTCTGCCAGAAAGGTGCCTTGCAGCAATGGAGAGGGGTGTAACTGAGCAGCCGACCTGCCCCCATCTCTATCCTGATTTGGTGAAGAACTTTCTATCAAAAGCCTTTGATGTTTTCCAATATTTTAAAAAAAGCCATCGGGCTCCTTTCCTTGTTAGAAGCTGGACCTGTTGGTCAGCTTTGCTGGTCTCTGCCCCTCTTTGAAACCACCTCTCTGTGTTCTGTGGTCATTTCGCCATTCTACTTTTCTTAGCTTTAATTTCTTAGCCAGCCCCTCCCGCTGAAGGAAACCCATTCCCTTGCCCACACTGGACATGGGCGATAAGTTTTGTTGTGGTTTCTTATTTTTCAATTATGAATGAATATTGAATGTTTTCTTGTTCCTGCATCAAATGAGATAACTTTTTCCCTATTGTTAGTGTGATAAATTATTGACTTTTATATTGAGTCAACCTTACATTCCGGAGATAAACCAAACTCAATCATAATCATTTAATTCAAATTATTATAATTTATTAGGAGTATAATACTTGCAGCAAGAATTTTTTGTATTTGTTAGTAAATTAATTCTTTTTTGATATCAGTGGTTTTGTTCACATTGAAATCAGCGGTAGGCAAGCTCTCTAAAGCACATATTAAGTTGTGTTTCTGCTCCCTGAAGAACTTGTGTAAAACTATAGATTGCCTTTCTTTAATATTTGTAGAACTCGGGCTGGGGATGTGGCTCTCTCCTCTCTCACTCTCTCTAAAAAAAAAAAAAAAACGTAATATTTGTAGAACTCATTTGTTACATGATCTGGATTTGATTCTTTCTAGTTATATTTTTAACTTCCAATTCAGTATTATAAGATTTTTGTATTTCTCCTGAAGTTAATATTGCTAGTGTTCAATTTTTCTTGAAATTAATTTAGCCAATTAAAATATTTAATTAATTTGCATACATTGTTAATAATTTCAAATTTGCTGCAGCTCTAACTAACCAATTTTTCATTCTTAATCTGTTTAATTTTTTTACTCATCTCTCGATTTTATTTTTATTAGTATTGTCAGGACTTTCTTATTTTCCAGGAACGGAGAAGATTTTTTTTTAAATATCAAAAGAATAGACATGTTAAGTTTATTATTTAGTTTTTAGTCTCAATTTAATTATGTCATTATTTGAAGCAAGGATCTATATAAAATTAATATTATTAATTCTCTTGACTGGGTTGAGACTCGTTTTATGGCCTACCATTTAATTTCACTTGTGCTTGATGTAGATCTGTATTCTGTATACTTCTGTTAGGTGGGTCTGGTTAATTATTGCCCTCAAATATTTTATCTTTTTACTTATGATTTATCTGCCTGATATTTTAACTACTCAGTGGGGGTATTTCAAACATTACTATGAGAGTGGGCATGTTATTTTTCCTTTTGTTTCTTCTCTACCCAATTACTATGCAGTACTGAAAACCAGAGACTTTCTGTTCTTGCTGTGGCAAGATGGAGTAATGCAGGCAGCCAGGGTTGGATGGCTCCTAGGCAGAGCAGAACCAATAACTGGGCTTTGCATGTGCAATTTCTTCTTCCAGTCTCACCAATCTGATTAGGTACATCCCCAGCCTGGTTCATGACTACATCTAAATCATCTCAGAGCATATCAAAGCACAGATTGCTAGCTGAGCTTGGTGGTACACACCTGTAATCCCAGATACTTGGGAGGTTGAGGAAGAAGGATCACAAGATTGAAGCCAGACTCAACAATTTAGTGAGACCCTGTCACAAAATAAAAAATAAAATGGACTGGAGATGTAACTCAGTGGTAAAGCTTTCCTGCGTTCATCCCCCTAATAATAATAATAATAATAATAGTAAATATATTGCCCACTTGAAAGTTTCTAATTTAGCAAATCTGAATTGCACAGTCTCCTTAAAATAAAAATTTTTGTTCATGTTTAAGTTGTACCTGAGAAGATTTCAGCTGATTTGTTGGGCCTTGTTTATTCCACAACTAATCAATGTCCTCGTATTTGAAGAAAGTTTAAGAAGGTTTTGCAACTTGTTTAATAAGTGAGTTAAAGAACTAAATCAGTGATCTATAAAACATTGGCATTAATTTTAGACTTTGAAGACTGTAGACAGCAAAATACCTTTTCAATAATTACTCCACAGGCTCAAATTATGTTCAAAATTTTAATAGCCTACATTTAAGTAAAAGATTAAGTGAAAGATAGATGTATTCTGATTCTGGATTCATATAGGTTCTGTAAAACCCACATTAACAAAACAATTGTCTGGGGTGGTAGGGAGGGTCAAGCCTCAGTCAGCATAATTCGATCCTCTGGTTTTAAAAAATGTTCTCCTCTTTCCTCTTTCTCAGTAGACTGAAATGTTTTGGATGAGTTCAGTATTTACCTACTAACTGATTTTGCAAAAGCATTTCTCCATTTTCCTGCTGTGGGAGATTTAATGAGAAACTGAACATGTAATCTTCAATTATAAGTGGTATGCCTGTGTAGTCAGGGATCCCCATGTCAGCAGGCATCATGAAATCAGGCAAAAGCAGGGGATGATTCTGTGAAGTATGGAGGTGAGTCCTACTTCCAGAAAGGAAATGGAGAGGCTGGGGGGGTTGTCAGCAGAAAGGTGACAGGCAAGCCTTGGAAAATCCCATGGCAGGTGACATTCGACACAGGGATGAGGGTTACTCTGTGGAGGGTGCTCTATAGACACGCCACCCAGCCAGGTGGGGTTGTGGCTCAGAGGTAAAGTGCTTGCCCAGCTTGTATAAGGCACTGGGTTCAATTCTTAGGGCTACCTATAAATAAATAAAGTAAAGGTCCATTGACAACTCAAAAATATTAAAAAAAAAACAGAGAAAGAAAGAGAAGCTATAGACAAAATATAATCCCCTCCCCCAAAAAAGAAAAAAATACAAAATAAAATCCCCTATGGGTTGACCTCAGTGGCCTACTTCCTCCAGCTGTGCCTGACCCGCCTACAGTTACCACCCAGTAATCTGTTTGCATCATTAGTCCATCAAGTGGGATGGGATTGCAGCTCTCATAACTTAACCCTTTTGCCTCTGAACATTGCCACATTGCCTAACATGAACTTTCTGAGGCTCACGTGATAACCAAACCATAGCAAAAGAAAGCCGGTAGAAAACCTGGTTGCTACTCCAGTTCCAGTCTGTTTTGAAATTGCTGAGGAACTGTTGTGACTTCCTACCACTTACCTTAGTTTTCTATTATGTAGTTATGGATCCCTTTGAGTCAGATGGTTAAATGAGTCAACATCTTAAATGCTGTCCAAATAAAAAATTCAATGATTCAGTGACTTCCTGGTGGCATTCAGTAACTATGGAGTTTGCTCAAAGGGAAACTTCAAAAGTAATGTGTTGGTTTAACCTGAGACTTGAACGGAGCCTCTTCTCACCACAAAAAAAAAAAAAAAAAAAAAAAAAAAGCTGCTTTCACATGGGAAAGGAAAGAATCCCAGCTTTCCCATAGTAATTACTGTTTATCTCTCCACAAGATTGCTTTTTATTATTGTACAATATTAAAATTTGTTTCACATTATATAGGGCCCACATAGTCCATAGTTGGGCTAGATGATAGAAAAAACTCAAATTGAGAACTTATTCAGAAATAGGAAACACAAACCTACTCACCATCACTAAAAAGGGTGGCAAAGAAGAAAAAGCACTGTATAGTTTTTACCTGAAATGAGGGTTTTATTTGTTTGTTTGTTTGTTTCGTGTTGTATTTTCAGTAGGGTTATAGTCATGTTATCCAGGGACAGTCATAGGAAGATCTTTCAAATCTACCTCTGGTCTGAAGAGACCCTTCAGACAAGTATCACCTGGATGCTCAGGATTTGAGGATTCCAAAATTTGGGGAAAATGTCTGAGTAAAACTGTGAGACTCACTTTTTCCCCCCTCATTCCCTTCCTGCCAATACCTGTTATCGCAGATAAGCATAGAGTAAAAATTAAGTTTATTTCCTGGTGTTAGGCAACGTGTTGTGACTGTTGCTTACTGGTGTGTGTGTGTGTGTGTGTGTGTGTGTGTGTGTGTGTGTAGTGAAGAAAGTGGGAGATTGGAGAGAGAAAGAGTGAGATTGTTGCTTCCTTAAAACACAGTGATGATCAGCTCCTTGAAAACAGAAAGTGTTCCTGGTTTTTTTGGTTTTTTTTTTTTTTTTTTTACCTATTCTCTTGGTTCCTCGAGCAATTTTTGCACACAGGGGACTCCATTGATGATGTTTCCTGGTTGACTTACTTATTTCAAATTCAAAGTATAAGATGTATTTCTGTAGCTCAGTTCAGACCACCAATACACTGAGCATCGTTGTCTTCAGTGTCCTGTTAGACAAATTCTCTTCTCCACTTTCAAACGTCTTTTCCTATGAGATCACCCAACAACACTCGACTTCATATTCTTGTGGGCACACTTTTCATGTTCAGTCCATTTCTGAACATTTATCCCAGGTGTCCTTATATTTTTCTTTTAGTTAATCTCAGTTACAACCTTCTTGATTCTAAGTATCCAGACTTGATTACAACCACAGAGTCAATGTCAGTTATTCAAATTTTCTCAGCACAAACTCTGTCTACCTAGAAATTTGTGTTTCTTTCTAATTATTGGTTTTGCTCTTTCTTCACTTATGTGGTCTTTCTCCCCTATTAGTAGATCCAGGGACTCTGTTTCTCCTTCCTCTATATTTCTCAATTTGCCCTAATCCAAGAATCAGTCCATTTTAATTGAACATTTCACAGAGTATTTGAATAATAAATTGGTTTCCTTGGCTAATCAATTAAATCCTACAATTACCAAATGGATGAACCATAACCTTAAAGGACCTCAGGGTGTCTTCAATACAGTCCTCATCCTCTGGATGACCCTCCTAACAGCCTCTTTCACCTCCTTGTTACGAAGAGTATAAATGATAGGGTTAAGAAAAGGGGTAAGAAAAGTGTACACCAAGGCGATGAGTTTGTCTCTGCCCTCAGCTCGGATCTCAGGTGGCCCAACATACACAATGAAGGCAGATCCAAAGAAGAGCGTTACCACAATTATGTGGGAGGAGCAGGTGGAGAAGGCCTTGGCACGACTGGCAGCGGAGGGCAGCTTCAGCACAGCCCTCAGGATGCCCCCATAGAGTCCTAAAATGATAACAAGATTGCAGGTGTTGATCATGCCAATCACTGTAATATAGACCCGAGCGTGCCAGCTGGTGTCCACACACGCCAACCGCATTAGCGGAGCCAGGTCACAAAAGTAATGGGCGACCTCCTTCAGGCAGTAGGGCAGAGTGGCAGTGAGGCTGGCTGGCACAAGTGCTGCTGAGAAGCCAGCCACCCAGGTGGCCCCTGCTAGCCACAGCTGTACCTGCCTGCTCATGAGTGTGTGGTAGTGCAGTGGGCGGCAGATGGCTAGGTAGCGGTCCAGCGCCATGACTCCCAACAGGTAACACTCAGTCATGCCCAAGGAATGGAAGACATACAGCTGGAGGAAGCAGGCGACCGACGGGATGGGGGAGCGCCCGTGGAGCAAGGTGTGCAGCAGYGTGGGCACCGTGGTGCTGACGTACCAGAGTTCCAGGAAAGAGAGGACACTGATGAAGAAGTACATGGGTGTGGACAGTCCAGAATCTGCGTGAACCACGACAATGATGAACAAGTTCCCTGCAAGGGTGAGGAGGTAAATGCATAGGGTCCCCAAGAAAGCAAGAGGTCGTAGTGTCCCAGTGGTCGTAAAACCAGCAAGGATGAAAGTCTGGGTCCAAGTCAGGTTGAGATGATCCATGATTCTCGGAATGAGGGGTAAAGGGTAGAAGATGTAGGGCTTTAGGATTCTTCCTTTTGAGAAATTTCTTCAGAATCTCAAAAATAGAATATATGTACAGAAAAATAATTTACATATTATCAAAACAATTTCCAACTTTGTAAAAGAGAAACTGAATGCTAGAAATAGAAAAACTCACTCAATGTCCCTTGCTAACAGTACGAGTGGAGTTTGGGTCCCTTGATGCACAGTTCAGCACTTGTTCTGTTGAAGAGCTAGGGCACCAGAGTCTCTGCCCCAGGATTTTCTTCCACGTTCTCTACTAAGAAAAGAGAGAGAGAGAGAGGAAAATTTTCTTGCTAATCATCCTATAGTCCTTAATGAAAATTACCAAGATTCTTTAAGATATCCACCCATTGTATATGCTTCAGCCAACATCTGGCCATTCTGAACTGGGGGAAGGAGACATATACTTTGTAAGATGTCATTGCTAAGGCTGTTTGGTGGGGGATCTTTCTCGAACTCAACAATGTTCTCATTAAGGCTGAAGGAAGCGGGGTGTGGTGGTGCACGCCTGTAATCCCAGCAGCTGGAGAGGCTGAGGCAGGAGGATCACGAGTTCAAAGCAAAAGCACGACGCTAAGCAATCCAGTGAGACCCTGTGCCTAAATGAAACGCAAAATAGGGCTGGGGATGTGGCTCAGTGGTCAGGTGCCCCTGAGTTCAATCCCCGGTACCCACCCACCCCCACCAAATAAGAAAAGGCTGAAGGAGGAGGAGATTGGAAAGAAAGAAATAGGAGTCTGTGGGATCATTTCAAATTCAGAACTGCAGAACAGGATGAAGAATCAATGGGCAGACAGATGATGTTTTAAGGAAGGATCTCAAAGGACACATGCATCAGGAATTCTAAAGGGGCTAGGGAGAGCTGAGAATGGATGAGGTAAGACCCATATGATGCAGCCAAGAAGGGCTGAAACAAAGCAAGCATTCTTTGGGGAATTGGCTTTCCAAACTTGTTCTGCCACTAACTCAGAATGACTATTGGGCCTGACCATTTCTCCCCTCTTTATTCAACTTCCTTTAAAACGAAGAAGTTTAAATAGGTATTTTATAAAGCCCTTTTATAACCCGTTAGGTCTGTGATTCTCTGAAGTCATTGAAAAATGCTTATCAGGTTAGCATGGAGATGTGTGGTCTGCATCAATATCCCTAGAGTTTTACTCCCACACTGTAACAGACCATATGTGGAAAAGGTTAAAACCACCCCCTGGTTCTCTTCCTCAGCTAAGCTCTTATCATCTGCACCTCCATTGCCCATTACCTGACTGTTTTAATGACAATATAACTTGTTGCATGCTCCTTAGCATCTTCTCTATCCCGATGCTTCCCTCCTTATATTTCATGTTTCTGGAAATGTGGGTCTCCCAGGGGCTCCCTACAGTCACTAAGGCTACCTCTCAGTATTGGTCCCTCTGGGGCGGGAAGTTGGGCACAGAGAAATGACAGAGATGAACTCTATTTCTCCAATGACTTGTTTCAGCTTCGCAGTTCTCATTTTTGGATTCTGGAATGTAATCCCAGGGACATGGCCTCTTCTGGGCCATTAGAAGCTTTGCAGTCATCATAGAGTTTTTCATTAAAGAGGAAAATCCAGCTTGATATCCCCGTGCATGTATGGAGAGTAACACCTTAGATGCCCCAGAAACGATTTCATCTTCTTAAATTTTTCTTTGCAAGGAGATTTCTCAGCCAACACTACTAATCTCCCTGCACAATTAATTCCCTTAGGAGCCACCATTACTTTTGTGCTGATCGACCCTACCTTCATCTTCTTATCAGCACCCACCTCCACTGGGTTCACATGGTTTATTCATTGTTCTGATCATTGCTTATTGAATAGTTAAAACACTGTTCTAATTKCAGTGTTCAAAGTCTCCATCGGCAAGATTGCTACCATTACTTTTTCCACCACCATCATTATTTTTATCCTGGAAGTCCTCGTGAGAATAAGCTACTGTTTCACAATCATTTATACCTATATTCTCAATATCCATAATTCTCAATATTCTCATCAAAAATCTTGATATTAACATGTGAGCTTTGATCTCAGCTGGGTACCATCTCTCAATTCGTACTTGAATGAATAGAAAGTCCAGATAAATAATAGAATAATGGCATTTATCTATTAGGATTAGGTATTTGAATCATTTACAGATCCAAATGTTTTTAAAAAAAWTTTTTAGAGACAGATGGGCATAAAGCAGTCGCTGAACACATTAAAGGCAAGAAGGTATCTATAAAAGATTAACAAGCAGATCCCATTAAATGGAATGAAAATATTGCATGTCTTGAGATTAAACTGGAAAAGTTTCTTGCAAGAGGTGGAAGTTTTTGAGCCAAAAGAAAGGAGGGTATTTGCTTGTGGAAGTGCAGAAGTTACTTCAGAATAAGAAGAGTCTTTCTTAAGTATTTGGACAATCTGGTTCTCATTCAGCCTTAATCAGCATTGAGCCTGTACCCCACTTCCTCTGAAATACCTGACCATTCTCTAGGATACATACTTGCAAGCACCACTCACTACATGACTGTCCCTCTCGTGGCCCCACACACCAGGACACCCCTTGATTTTATCATTATATCCTTAATCTGTATAAGATAGCCATCTCGCTAGACTCTACAAATAAATGGTCAGTCTGTGCTCAGAGTAGCCACATTAATATTGCTTTTATTCCTCTATAAGCTTTTGTACTTCTACTTTTCTCTTGTGTGAAAGTCTGAGACAGACTTTTCATATCACTTATATAACTGGATGTAATTCTCCAATGTCTGGATGGCTTGGTATTAACTGATTAGATTACAATCCCTCAGTAGAATATTAATCTAATACTAATTCCTGACATAGAACCATAGACATGTTCCAGAATCAGTTATATATAGAAATATGTATTTAAGGATTGAGGCTTCCACGTGTGCTCCGGGTATAGTTGAGAAAGTTCTTGGTCTCTCTCATGTCTTGCCTATAAGAGTACTTAACTCGGTGTTCACTCTGTATCAGGAATGAAACAAGCAGAAAGAATGAGTCCTAGCCAGGCACGGTGGTGCACACTTGTAATCCTAGCTACTTGGGAGGGTGAGGCAGGAGAAGTTTCAGTTCAAAACCATTATCAGACGCTTAGCAAGACAATCTCTCAAAATAAGCGATACAGTTCAATCTTCAATACTAAAAGAAAAAAAAAATCCTGATATCTCTATCAGGTAATTCATTCATTATTTGGGAGAAAGATGACATCTTCTATAATGTATATTAAAAATTTTAGGGAATAAAAGCAGGATTTGACATGCTAAAATATGAAAATATAATGTATGTTTATTAGAAATTAGAAAACAATAGACGTGAAATTTTTTCAAGTATTAAGATTATAAGGGATTTTAAAAATTCACTCATGTAAATATTTTAATGTGCTATATTTATATGTAATACATTATTTTATAACACAACTTAAAGATTAAAAAATGATACAAAGCACCAATAAAATAATGTGAGAAACAGGGAGAATCAGAATCATTAATTTATTTAATATGATTTATTTATTTATTTATTTGCTCTAGGCCTTATTCTAGGATGTGGGTAAGATACACAAAACACTGTACTTTTCCTAAGATACTTACTGTATTGCCATGCAGAGTAGGTGAGGCTGACTCTCAAATTAAGTCAGTAACACGAAAAATAAGTTTTTTTCAACATAAGACAAAATTTCCACCTCACACATAAGATAGATTTGAATTTAAAACTACAATGAGATATGATGCATCAATTTTTTATCCATTTTTGATGGAAGAACTAAATTATATAATTGCTTTTGAAGAATATTTACCCAAATTATATGTGCACTATGATCCAGGAATTCCTCTTTTTTTAATATATTTTTTTTTATTTTTTAGTTTTCGGTGGACACAACATCTTTGTTTGTATGTGGTGCTGAGGATCGAACCCAGGCCGCACGCATGCCAGGTGAGCGCGCTACCGCTTGAGCCACAGCTCCAGCCCCCAGGAATTCCTCTTTTAGAAATTTCTATGTACATATGTATGAAATGATACACATACAAGGTTATTCTTAACAATGTCGTTTTTAATAGCCAAAGACAGGAAGCAACACAAGACTTCTTATATAAAGTATTAGTTAAATTAAACACAATGGAGTGCTATGGAGCTATTTTTTCATGTGAGAGGGGGTAATCTCTGAAGAAGAAGAAGGAGGAGGAGGAGGAGGAGGAGGAGGAGGAGGAGGAGGAGGGGTGGTGGAAGAGGAGGAATAGTTAGAATTATTTCTAATATTTCCTACTAAGAAAAGGAAAAATAAGGATAGAACAAAGTATATATTAAAGAGCCTATGCATAATAATGGAAGATAAATATTCATGTCTTCTGAATTTTGCAAAAGGAAAACAGTAATCATACAGGGAAAGGTGGCCTCTCTCTCAGGGTTAGGTAAGGATACAAAGGAGCAGACAGATATGAGAGATGAAGCAAGACTTGTATTTTGTAAATACTGTTGGATTGCTTTGATTTGAGGACCCTTTAGGCATGTAGTTATTTGAACAAATAATTGTGTTTTTAAATAACTCTGTAAGAAGTAATGTATCGTGTCCATATGTCGTTGTGTGAGACGCTCTGGGACCTGTCTTCCAGGGCACTCATTAATAGCACCTCCTTTTGCTCTTTACATCCTGGGATTGAGACTACAGACTATTTAAATACACTCCATGACAATGTCAGCCTTAAAGCCAGTGCAGAGGGAATGGTGTGATGGTGCCACCGTTTAGTCCTGGCTTCTTACAGTTTTCTGTCCTACCAGAGTCACAATTTGGATGTCACCATGGGAGAAGTGGCAACTCTGCATACATGTCATTTATGTATGCTGAGAATCTCTGTGCTAAGGATGACCTARACTTTCTACTCCAAAGGGAAAAACCTAGAAAACCCTTAAGAAATAAAAAGATTGTAGAATGAAAGGCAAA